TTGGGAGTGATTGCAGAGAAGGGGAGGGACAGCTACAAATGACATCTCAGATCTTACTGAAACTTGGGCAAAAGATTCAAAGCCTGGAAAAGACTTGGAAAATATGGAGTGAGGAGCTTTACCAAGGCAAGCTGATGCTCTGACAAAGGCTGTGGCCTCTTTTACTTGCAGATGACCCCTTGGGGATGCAAAGGAACATGGAGACCTTCATGGAGTCATGCAGCAGTGACCAAGTTAGCTGCTCTGCTGTGCCCACTGCCTTGGAAGGTAAGTGAGCTCATTAGGAAGGTTGGCTCTGTTAGTGGCAAAGTAGGTTGTGTCAGCAAGCTCAGAAAATTCCCAGCTTTCCCAAAGTGGAAACAAGCAACCCACTTCTGGCATGTATTAAGCAAGAGGCCCACGAGTTTTGCACTGACCCTGGCACAAAAGATGTTGAAGCAGAACCAATTTAGTCATAAAGAAAGTGGGAGCTTCGGGAGCGCTCAGCCAAACACCTCCACAGCAAGGAGCAAGCTGGAGGCTCGGCTGGTGGGAGATCCACGGCTCCCCTGCATCCCTGCAGCAGGAGTCATGCAGCAGCTCTGGGTTCTTTGCCATGCTCTGGCACTTCAGCCCTCTCGGTGCTCTGAGTCTTTGCTCTCGCTTCCCTCCCCGCTGTCCCAGAAGCAGAGGCGGAGCAGTGGGAACGCGCCTGCGACACGCTGCTCATGTGCATCGTCACGGTGCTGAACCATGGGCTGCGGAACGGCGGCGGCGTCGGGGACATCCTGCGGAAGCCATCCAAGGATGTGAGTTTGGGCAGCACGTGGGAGCCCGGCCTCTGGTTGCATCTGTGCCCTGCACACCCCCATGGAACCTGGGATGCTTCCAGCTCCATCCCCACGCTGTCCTCCAGGGCTGCCTCCTCTTCCCCATCACACCTTCATTCCTTGTCAGCGGGGTACCCTGAAGCACATGGCCTGTGTAACAAGGCAGCATGGTTGGAGTAGCTGGAGGAGATGTGCAATGACACATTTATCCCTTTCATCTATTACAGGAGTCCTTGTTTCCTGCTCGGGTTGTCTACGACCTCCTCTTCTTCTTTATTGTCATTATCATTGTCCTTAACCTCATCTTTGGGGTCATTATTGACACCTTTGCTGATCTGAGGAGTGAGAAGCAAAAGAAGGAAGAGATACTGAAGACAACCTGCTTCATATGTGGTGAGTGCTGGGACCTCAGGGTATAGAAACTGCCCCAAAGCTCTTCCTCCCTTCTAAGGCTGAGCAAAGGGGAGAAGTTTCAGCTGGTTTCTGGTTTCCATTTGGTTCACAGCGAACCGTCAGTGATGGGTCACTGCAGTGTGAGGAGGCTTAAGCAAGGACACAGAGAGGGGAAATTATCTGTCTTGTTCCTCCCCTTCTGTTAATGAGCTAGTAAACTGAAACACCACATTGTGGAGTTCTTGTCGCTGTGTATCTGTGACTCCTGAGACCATCATTTAGCCAGTGGGAAAGGAAAAAGTGCCATATTCCTGAAGAAATAAGATACAGAAAATGTTCTGGAATCCTTCAGTCAGGGGAAGGCATCCAAAAAAAAAGAATACCCCATTAAGTCTGGCTGCCTTTTTTTTAAAGATCCACTGGGTGCATTTTATGCTCTTAGATACATAGGCGGAACACAGCGCTGCTATTACTTTAAGTAGCAGCCTCCTGAATACTCAACTGGGTTATTTCCCCCATTTTGAGTGCTTGTTGTGTGCTAAATGCCAACTAATTATTAAAAGTACTTCTTGAAAGTCACACCTGGGAGAGGATGCAACCATCTGGCTTCCTTTCACATGCGTTTGCTTGCTCACTTCTTACCTTCTCTCCTCCCCATCTCCTCCCATCACGTCCTCCCATCTCACCTGCCTTTCCCAGGGCTCGAAAGGGACAAGTTTGACAACAAGACCGTGTCCTTTGAGGAGCATATTAAATATGAGCACAACATGTGGAACTACTTATACTTCATAGTGCTGGTGCGAGTGAAGAACAAGACAGACTACACAGGGCCAGAGAGTTACGTGGCGCAGATGATAAAGGTACGGCTCCTCTCAGGGCAGCTCTTTCCCTGCTGCAACCTGCCTACCGTGGGGAGTACTTGGGAACAAGGGGCTTGCCAGAGAAAAACAGTTTGAGAAGGAGCTTTTGGAAAGTATTTAGTAACACTCTTGTGCCTTCGTTCTTTCTTAGCTGGTTATTTCCACTTTGCAATCTCAGCCAACAACACGCTGTCTGTTTGATGTTTTGTACTGTGTATTGGAGGATTGAACCAAGGGCAGAACCAAGCAGTAGGGAGTGTGACTTCAAGGTGATTTCAAGGCAAGAAGAGAGGGAAAGGAAATCTAGGGGAAAAAACAACTTCTGAACTTAAGCTCAGAAGGCTGTAAGAGAAAAAACACCTTGAAGTGCACTGTTCATGGAGAATGTGCACAGATAGAGACCAGATGAGCCTTTGAGAACTTCTTTAATCCTTTAGCACAGGCAAGCTTCCTGTGACATGCTATCAGGTCTCTTCCTTCTTCCCCTCCCACTCCCATTCTCACCTTTCCAGAACAAGAACCTTGACTGGTTCCCCCGGATGCGAGCCATATCTCTGGTCAGCAATGAAGGGGAAGGGGAACAGAATGAGATCCGGAATCTTCAAGACAAACTCAATACCACGATGAAGCTGGTGTCCCATCTCACCTCCCAGCTGAACGAGCTGAAGGAACAGGTATGAAACACTTTCAAAAGAGGAACACTTGAGGAACATCTGACTAAAAACCTGCTGCCCTTACTAAAATAGTCACTGACAGCGTGGAACAGGCAAGCACCAGTACAACTTCAGAGACAAAGCAAAGGGTTCCTGCAACCCTTTTGGTGGGGGGGTCAGGGACACTTGGGGCTTTCTGATCCTTAACTTCCTCATCAGCTGGAGTCCAACTCAGGGATTTTTGGCAGAGGCTTAAAGCAGCCTAGGCAGTCCCACACTTGAGCTGTGTCAGTGACCAGAAAGGCAGCCTGGTTCCCTACCTCACCTGTGTCCTTGTTTGAACTCCAGATGACAGAGCAACGGAAGCGCAGACAAAGGATGGGATTTGTGGATGTCCAGAACACCATGAACCACTAAGCCACAGCCGAAGCACTGGCTTCACCCACCGAGGGACTGCGCTATGCATCAGCTACGAGGCTGCTTATTCCTGGCTTCCATGTCTGGCTGTTGCTGTCAGGGAGGGATGGACCATGCCGTTTCCCATAGAGTGCTTGTAAGCAATTCAGGAGCCAGGGACTGACCAGGATTCCTCACAATACCTGGACCCACACGTTACTCTAATGCCCTTGTAGGAGGATAAATTATACAGGACTTTTATCCCTCATTGCAATAACTCTTTATTTTGCAAATGTGGAGGGTTGTATCTTTATCTCCATGCACTGCATTCTGAGGGCCTCCACCTCGGGTGTAGTGCAAGTAGCTGTAGGGCTGCGATATTTAACTTATTCCAAGAGTGGCACTAGTACACGTGGATCTTTGCAAACCAGCCATCATATTTGCTGTACCTGCTCCATGCTCATCCCTCTCCATTTAAAGAATTCTGTTCATCACTGGGGTGCAGTAAAGAGAAGCTGAACTCAAGGAGATGGATTTTGTTAATTTAACTCACCAGATGAGTACCCAAGCTTGTACTAGTGTGAACTAGTCCTTTTTTTCCTTCTGTGGACCAAGAGTATCTGGGCAGTAGTAGTAGGAGAGTGCAGGTTTACAGGAGTTCACTGTGAAGGGGTGTCCTGTGTTTTAGTTTCATCTCTGGTGTAATGTTTTACCTTTTTTTTGTTGTTACTGTTGTTACTTAAGAACTGAAGTGTAAGTTGCCTTAACTAAATTAAATACAAAATCATGTTATAATAAAAACTTAAACATGGTCAAGAAAGCTCCCTTCCTGTGCACTCTGCTATGTAATGGGCTTGTTACGTACAGAGATGCAGAACAGGCCAAGGACCTGAAGCCAAACCCAAGCTGTATTAGCCAAGGTGCTCCACAACCCAGTGCTCTCAGCTCCAGCTGTTAAACATTAACATGTAGTACGATGCTCCAGTCAGAAGAAGAATCCTACCTTGAACACCAGCCCTGTTTTCTGAAGCTTTGGACTGGAGCCTGCTGCAAAGTTTCAAATTCTTTCAGTACTTGCCAGGAAAACACTGTTCAAATACATAAAAAGCACATAAAAAGGAGCAGCTGCTGGTGCTGCCTGGAGCCAAGCAGCGTCCTGGCAGAGCTGTGTTCTAGACACTCATCCTGCCCAAGCCAAGCAGTGCTGCAGGCATCCCAGCTCCAGCCTCTGCCTCCCGAGAATAGACACTGATGCAAGCATTAAAGCTTTAAAAAGGAATTAAAATAGGCCACAGCAACGGACTAATTAATCACAGCTGAAATTTGTTTATGGCCCTATATACCAACATGTCATTAAAACCTATCTTGAACCCTCAGATACGCAGTAACCCACAGAACCTTCTTGTCATGCTGACAGAAAGCTGCACACAGCTACCTTGACTTGCAACACACCCCAGCAGCATCTGATTGAAATCTCAGTTAAGCTCTTGCACCATTCCACTGTCACCATGGTAAACAATCACCCTTGGGCCTCTCCTGTGTCTTCTCAAAAGGAAAAGAAATGTGATGGTTAAAGTATCCCTCCCTCAGTTTCACTATTACCAGAGCTAACACACAGAAACACAAGCATAGCTACGTTTTCACATCTCTACTGTTATCTTCAGAAGCACATTTAAAGCTAACATGGTTGCACCTACTGCCTCTGTGCATCTCCTGGTTGTTCCACTTCTCGTAATACAAAGGATCACCTCTAACACCGCCAAGATCTTTCCTCTGAACTACACTGCTCCAATAAGGTTTCAGCACAATGTGTTAAGCATGGCCTAGATTTTCAGTAAAGAGGGGGCACTAGATATGAAGGGTGTAGGGCTGAACAAAAATGCTGTTGCTAAGAGGAATAAATGGTTTTATTCATCATGGCAACGTACAGTGTTCAGGAATATATACAGTGGAGAATTGGAGCTGGCCTATCACTTGGAGTCCTCCTCAGGTTTCTTGGCATAAAACTTTTCTCGCAGTTTTTTCCACATCCCTTTTTTCATGTCTTCCATCTGTTGCAGAACGTCTGCAAAAGGAGAAAAGAGAGAGCTGGGGAAAGAGGAAGAAAAGCAGAAAAGCAAAGGAATGAAAGCCCTCTTGTAACAGCTCTGCTTTACATGTATTTTCCTTTCCTTGACTTTCATCTTGATGAATTTCTATTTCAGGGCCTGAAGCAAGGTTGTTTTCTCTTCCAACCCATTGTGCAGGGAGTCTCTTATCACTAACAACTAATATTCAGTTTCTACACACTGCAAAGTTAGGAACTGGAGCAGAACAAAGCTGCACTAGCTTCCTGCACTGCACCTACTTAATAAGTGATCTGCCTGAGAGTATTTCTGCCTCATGGTACCCTGTTTTCTCTCAAAGTCTAATACAAAAAAACACTGAAGAGAACTTGAACATGGTGAAACAGAAGCCAAGCTACATTTTGGAATGACACAGTGAACATGCCTACCTTTCACACAGCTCCTGCAATCTGATGTCAAAGAGCCCTTGCAAACTCTTTGTTGTTCCTGCCCAGTAAAAACTACAATTGACTTTTCACCCTGACAGATTACTGAAGATCTCCTCAATTACTCCTGAACTTACTCCTCATTAAACATCCTAATATACTTGCATACAGTCCCATTCTGCCCTTTAGTCACAGGTGTTCAGTAGGAGTGAGCACTACAAAGACTAGAATGCACTTTATCTCCTGCACTGACTTATTCTCAGATCAAGCATAGTGTCAGTACCTGTTGCTAGTATCATCTTGCAATCTTCTACTGTCACTCCTGTGAAGTTTGTGTCTTTCAGGCGTGGATACTGCACAAGGAGCAAGTAGGTGAGAGAAGGAGAGAGAAAGAAAAGGATGTTACTTGTAGTGCATTAAAAGAGGTTAAAAAAAGTCACCATAGGGTACAATCTGAGCTCAGTGTCAGTCGAGCTCTAGGAATTCTGTTCATCCATACCAAGAATGGTCCATACATGCCACAGAGGCCAAGATGTCTGCAGCCTTCCTGGAGTGACCGAAGGCACCAGGTCGTGCTGCATACACCCAACTGCTCATTTGTCTGACATTCCCAGAAATCCTGCTGGGATGAGGCAGCCAATGCCAGAGGAGTGTGGTGATTCATCCCCTAAGAGAGGAATGATGGCTAATGCCAAAGCTCACCTTATTTTTGTAGTAGTTGGTGTGGATTCTGACTAAGCTCTCATACATTTGGTCGCAGTTCTCAGGGTCAGCAATCTGGAAAGGCATAAAAGTATTACATGAGTGTTACTTTAAACCTCCATAGCAAAACCCACCTCGTTTCAAGACTTGTAAGAAGGACAGTCAAGGAGCGCCTTTGGTGACTTCCCAGTGCAATGTAGGAGGCTGGCAACCCCTACTCTGCTGCTCCAGAATGCAGATTGTTTCCTTTCCCCTCTACTTCTCACCAGGTTGGTGAATAAAGAGGCGTGTGGTTTCCAGAATGAACCTTAAACTCTGCTCAAAAAGGTTTGACAGATCAACCCTGAATACACAGTTAATGAGAATACTGCTGGGCAGCTTTCTCGCATCTATAGTGCTGTGAAATCTGCAAGACTCCTTGCTCAAAGGCCAGTTTTGCCTCCTGTTTGATTCTAAAGCATCAACTAGAATCATGTACCAGGATGGAAGGTAGAAAATCCCGGCGCAGGCTAAAACTACTTATAACTGATTAGGGAAAAGCAGCATGAAAGACACTGCACAGCTTGTGAAGGGTAAATGGATTTCTATTTTGGTCTAGTAGGTTGGAAAGATCTTGCTAATAACTAAACCTCTGCCAGGTGCCTCTGCCTTGCAGAGCCATCGAATTAGCAGTATGGCTGGCACGTCAGCTTGGTTTTCTGCTTTACAGTGGGGGCCAACTTGACCAGAACACTGCACTGCTGCCCAGTGACATCAAACATAAATGATTCAAGCAGATACATGAGCAGGAATAGCATCGACAGAAGCACGTCAGGATAAAATGACAAGGCTCGTCTGTCCTTGAGACACTGACTCAGGTTCAGCTCAGGGCCTCCTCTGCACAAGCTATGCGACTAAAGCAAGGCTCTCCTTATTCAGTAGGGAAAGGCTGCTGCAGGAGAGAGGATACATGGACAGACAGGCAAGAGTAAGCACCATCACAACGCAGATCATCCTCAGCTTAACCTATCTTGCACTTACATCTCAAATGACCCTGCTAATGTTTTAGTAATGATAGCAGCAACAGCTATTAAATGAGCAGCAGAAACAGCATTCCCCCACCCTGTACAATCAGCAAATCTTATTCCACATGAATAAACCAGACATTACCCTGATTAAGTATCCTTTATGGTTTCAGTTCTTCTCTCAGACATTCCTCCTGCTGTCTGCCAGCACATTTCCTTAGCTATATTAAGCGTTTATACATACAAATAGACATCAGTGCTGCAGGCATCAATTTAGATTTTCAAGATGAGTGGCAGCTTTGGAACCTTTTAGCCAATTGGTGCAGCACATTCAGCTGTCCTGAGCACATAGGAAAGCAATAAGCACTCTCCAAAATGTCTGCTGCAGACTATTCTGGTGACCGAGAGAGAATTAGGTACCTATAATGGTCCCTTGAAGTAGAAAACACGTATCTGGAATGTCTTTATGCTGAGAAAAGGCACTTTTACACTCCACAGCAACACCTGCATGCCTCTAAAGGTCTGCAGCCCAAGTCAAGCATCGACTTGTCTGATTTATTTCAGCACCAAAGCCTAAACTCCAATACAATTACACTGTAGCTGGAATCCAATTTTACAACTCCTGCATCCTAACAATGCCAGGCAGCGCCGCAGTTCACTATGTACTCACACCGCACCGCACTAGCATCATGGTGAGCAGAACACACAACTCAATTCCAGCACAAAGGCACAGTGCTTTTTTCCCCAATGCCACAAGCACAGGAAAAGGGTTCCCCAAAGCACACAGTGCACATGGGGCAAGAACTGGGTACAGATCACAGCTTCCCCTAAGCGAGGGGCCTGTTGGAGCGAGCGCAGAGGAGGCCACGGAGCTGCTGCGAGGGCTGGAGCAGTTCTGCTCTGGAGCCAGGCTGAGAGAGCTGGGCTGGGGCAGCCTGGAGAAGGCTCCTGAAGGGGAGACCTGAGAGCAGCTCCAGTGCCTGAAGGGGCTGCAGGAAAGCTGGAGAGGGGCTTGGGACAAGGGATGTAGGGACAGGCCAAGGGGAATGGCTTTAACCTGCCAGAGGGGAGACTGAGATGAGCTCTTAGGCAGAAGCTCTTCCCTGTGAGGGTGCTGAGGCGCTGGCACAGGGTGCCCAGAGAAGCTGTGGCTGCCCCATCCCTGGCAGTGTTCAAGGCCAGGTTGGACACAGGGGCTCGGAGCAAGCTGCTCTATGGAAGGGGTCCCTGCATGGACCTGGAGGAGCTTTGAGCTCCCTTCACCCTCCCCGTGCCTCCCAGCTCCCGTTCAACCGCGCGGGTCAGAAGCGCCTGCGCGGCCCAGGCCCCGCCTCGCCCCCCCCGCACCCCGGAGGAGGCCTCCTCCGCCGCCGCCGCCCTCACGTGCGTGTTCTCGCCGTCGCGGAAGGCCTGCGCCACGCGCTGCCGCAGGAACGCGCCCAGGTCCCGCTGCCGCTTCGTGTCCTCCACCGGCCACTCCTCGCACAGCCTCAGGAACCGCCGGTACCGGCTGGCGGCCATCGCGCCTCACGTGGCCTACGGCGGCCGAGAGCGGCCCGGCGGCGGGCGCGCAGGCGCAGCGCGGCGGTGAGAACGGGCGCGGATGGGACGGGTGATAACTACGGTGGGGGAACGGGACGGGACGGGACAGGACAGCGGCGGGCTCGGGGTGCCCATTGCGCTGCTCCCCGGGCCCGCAGCTCCGCGTGTCCGGAGGCACCGGGCGCAGCCTGGCTTCGGGCTGGCCCTCGGGGGCGGCGGCGGGACCCCGCTCCAGCCGTAGGGAGCAGGCCGGGACGGCGCTTGGTGATGTAAAGGGGGGAGCGGGAGGCCTCCTGTCGCTGCTGGAGCAGCAGGTGGGATCATAGGATCCCGGACTGGTTTGGGTTGAAGGGACCTTAAAGCTCCTCCAGCCCCAACCCCTGCCACGGGCAGGGACCCCTTCCATAGAGCAGCTTGCTCCAAGCCCCTGTGTCCAACCTGGCCTTGAGCACTGCCAGGGATGGGGCAGCCACAGCTTCTCTGGGCACCCTGTGCCAGCGCCTCAGCACCCTCACAGGGAAGAGCTTCCTTATCTCCAACCTAAATCTCCCCTGTTGAAGTTTTACCTCATTACCCCTTGTCCTACCTCAATTGCTGTGTTCTTTCCAGGAGCCAAAGCAGGGGTTTTGCCCCACTGACCCCAGGTCTGGCTGCTGGTGTCATGCTCGGACCCTGCTTCATCCTTCCCCACTCCCAGACTTGATGTCCCTTTGCGTGAATCCAGCAAGAGGCTCAGAGCATGCAGATGCTGAGGTGGGTCTGGCTAAACGCCATCAGCAAAGCTGTGACCAGCCTCACTTAGCACTGATAGCAGCCCACATTGATAACTCAACCCTTTTGCTGCTGAAGCAGAACCCAAATGTGGGGTTTTATTATAGTCATCTCTGTGAGCAAGAAACAGGCAGCAGTGTGAACAGTGTGCACAAGGTCTTCCCAGATGGACCTGAGGCCAAATAAAACACACAACGGGGCCAGATGATGTAGATTTTCCAGCTACAAAGTGTAGCAATTCAGCTGTATGCAGTAAAATACAAGGGAAGGGTTCCCCTTAAGACCTGGGGTCAAAACATGCAGCCCTAAAAAACAAAGGTCACGTAACGTAAGGATGCTGTGGAAGTGAAAGAGATGGACAACAAATGGGAGTTCCTTTGACGATTTTATTCATGTTTTACTTATATCCCCACTCCCCAGTAAGGGGCTTCTGTAGCGCTGTTCCTTGTGGAAGGATTTCTCTTGCAGGTCTCCCACACCATGCAGGAAGGAATTCTCTTTGTTCCGTAATAATAAAATCTGTCCGCAAAAGCTGTAAACATGATTTTCAGTCTTGCTATTGTCTCCTTCAAACACACACAATCCTTGTATCAAAGAAGTTCTAGGTGACCTTTAATGGCTAGTCCCTGACTCAATCTCACACTTGTTTTAAGCAGAAATACCTCGATGTGAATGTTCTTTGTGACAGAATCAATCGCATTCCAGCCCCTTGCTTAGAAGGTTCCTGAAACGTGCTCTGATAGAATCCCACAGGGATATTAAACCTTTGTGAGGTCCAGTTCTTGGTCGAGGTCCCCAGCTCAGAACCTCTGCAGCATCTCATAGGTCTGTGTTTCAGCCCCCAGGCTGTAGGGAGAGCACCCACTGGGTACATGCAGTGTAAGTGTTGGGGCCTGGTTTTGTCTCCCTTGTGTGTTGAGCAGGAGCTGGAGGTGATGCTGCAGCCTGCTCACACCCCCCAGCTCATTCTAATAATCTCACTCAAGCCCACAGCATGTCCTCACCCCGTTTGGCTTCTTGAGTGTAGAGGTGAGCAGGTCCTATTTTATCATTAAGACTCTTCCAAGTAATGCTTGCTTTTGGCTCACAAATAAATCAAGGACAGCAGTAAAACAAGAAGGGAAAATAAATCTTGTGATTGATTGCAGGCAGAGCGTTCTTTCAGCTCTTTGCTTTTTTACGCTTCAGTTCACTCATGGCACCTAAGAGCTTTTTGCACTTCCCTAGCAAGCTGCCCGTGCCCTCATTCCAAACGGGCACATGAGGTCCAGCAGCAGAGGGTCCCATACAACTGACCCAGCGCGGAACTTCTCAGGGCTGTCGGTCACTCAGCAGTCCAGGCTATTTCACATGGGAATTTCTCATTTTCCTTCTGAGATGTTCTGAAGGATCTTGATGAGATTCTCCAAGCCAAAAATATAGCCGTGGTCTGGCCCATCGTAAGTGGTGTGATTGCACTTGGAGCCTTTAAATGTGGTGTGGGCAAAGTCTATCATCCGCACGTCAACTCTGGAGTGATGAGTGCCGTGTGAGGCGGTGCAGTTTGTTCTTTGGAAGTGAAGGTGGTTATCCAAGGGTGCCGTGTTCTCCTTGGGCTCCTGTCCATCGTAAATGATGAGAAGTGAGCTGGAGTAGAACCTGTAAGAGCTTTGCTTCCTGATGACGGAGAGCAGAGCTTTGAGCCGCAGGATGATGGGCTCCAGGAGATCCATCCGGAGGTGGTTGCCGTTGCACAGGAACTGGTGCAGGGTTTGCCTGAATCCCTCTGGAGAGAGTTTCCTCCCATAATACTTGTCTTTGCAGAGAAAGTGGCCAGTGTCCGCTTGGTAAACCTTGAGGAAGGGGAACAAAAGCCCAAATTGAGTTGTTCAGTTTTCCCAAAGCTCTAGATTTTGTCTGTCTCTAAAAAGCTCAGCCCCAAGCAGAAGAACAGGCTGTAGCTGCTCTGCAGCCTGGCAGTGTGTAGTGATGCTGGCAATGTACCAGCAGGCTCCTCACTGCATCCCACCTCCTGTCTTTTCTGGAGATTTAAACTATTCCATTTAAACCACTAGTGCAGATTCTTGTTGCACTGCTATAAATTACCCCTTTGTGAAACCCCAATAGCTCTAAATCAGAGCCGTGTCACTAGTGATTTATGGCATTTCCCCCTGGCTCTGGTAGGAGTTTGCAGCAGTACGGGGATACCTCAGCTTTGTACCTTCCACAGTATGCACTGCCTGGGTAGCAATAACCTTGCTTTCTAAAACACAGAGAGACAAGATGTAGGCAGAAATTTGTATGTGAGGCTCTGGTAACACTGAGTAAGAAGCGAGGCAGTGAATACCCAATGAGTTCACACACCAGTTGTAATTTGAAGGGTAATCTGCTCAACAGAAGCATGTCACAGACCAGGAGGGGACATGGGTTTTGCCACCCAGCGTTTTCCCTGCTGTGTGTGTGCTTTATAATCACCAACCTCATAATTACCCTTCAGGCACAGCAGAACAGTGCTTGAGAAGCACGGGTGAAACGAGCGCGTGGTTTGGGTTTCTAGAGGCAGGGTGGTGATTCTGAGTGTGAGGAGCTCTAGGATTTAGCACAAAACAAACCGTGGCTCTTGCAGCAGCAGGAGGCAGCTCTGCCAAGGAAGGAGCGGGGCAATGGAATGCTCTTTTGTTTTTGTTCTTTGTGCAGCAGCCAAGGGAGGAGCATGAGAGGGGAATCTGTGCATGTACAGGCAGATTCTCAGCTGGGGTACATTGGTTCCAGCTGCTCCTACTGGTGGCAGTGGTGTGGGGTGGTGCTTATCCATCTGCTGCTTGTGAAGTCTCCAGTAGTCAAAGGAACGGGGAAAGGGTTACCCTGTGTGTACCATGTTCTATTCTCTTCCCTAAGCATCCCCTCCCGTTTGAGGACAGGACACACAACGAGTGGCCGGTTCTCACAGCCTGTGTTTGGTGTAGGGCAAGAATTAAACTGCTTCACTTTACACCAACAAAGAGTCCCTTTAGGTTCCCAGCTTGGTTTCAAGCCGTGTGTCAAGCAAACACCAAAAAGGCTTTACCTGCATCCCACAGATGCGAACACCCAGAGATGCAGAGGTGCTTTGTTCACACTTCTTGATGTGCCGGGCTTTCTTCTCCTCTGAGGCATCGTCACCATGCTGCCGCGTTCCCATCTTTAAGTCCAGGATGCAGGGATAGCTGTATTTTGATACCACGTTTTCAAGCAACAGAAACTCTGAGCATGACTTAAGGGAAACCAAATACTTTCTAATTGAAAGAGGTTTTAAATCAGAACAACTGCTGACGCTCTCCATAATAGCTCACAACTGCAATGAGACTTTCTGAGCCCATTTTACCAACATGTCATTGCTATAGGCCCCTTGCTGCCAATTGTAGTTAATTTACTGTAGTACAGTGCTACCAATTAAAGCCCCAACAGCTCCATTCTCTAGTGACACCATAGCCCTGGGCTGTCGATCTGACACCTCGCCTCAGTGCTGTGTTCCCCCCTGTGGGTGTGGGGGGAGTTGTTAAACTCTATTATTCACATGACTGCTGGGTAATGAAGTGTAATAGGAAAATAAAAGGTGAGGCAGCTGCTAATTCTTATATAGTCGTGGTTTTCAATGTACGCCAAGGGGATCCTTCACTTACGCTGAATACCCTTCATGGCAAGGGGGGGGGTTATTCTTATCATAACTTCCAGCAACTCTCTTCTGTATTCTCCCAGAGACTGGGCCGAGGAGGGATGCAGACCCCTGATAAAACATCTTATTGCCAAAACCATGCTGGAGGGGAGAGAAGAGAAAGGATACGATGCAGTTTGTTCTCATTGTGCTTGGAGGACAAGCGGTTCAGGTGCTGCCGGTGACAGTGCAGTCCCCAGGGGTTGTAGCTCTTTCTTTCTGGCTGGTTTCCATTTGCATCTTCCAGAAGCGAATCTGTGCAGTACTGAAGGTCTGTCCTCAACAGCCTCTTCCCTGGGCAGCTAGACAAAACACACAAAAGAGCACGTTGGGTTTGTAAGCTCCAGAGGGGAATATTTCTTCCCTTCCTCTTTTGTAGAGCATCAAACTTGATAAGGGGAATTTTCAGGGACTCTCAAAGGAAACACATTGATCACGTCCAGCCTGCAGAGAGCCTTTGTTACTGCGTAAAAGTGATCTTCAGAGATGTGGTTATTGCTGGGTGCCAGTATTTCCTTTCATTATAATCTCAGTGTGCTTGGCTCCTGTGAGCAGTACCATGCATAGCTCTGTTGATCTAC